AAAAAATGTTTTTAAAGGAATACCTAATTCAGAAAGTAGTCGTGTGTAGCCATGCAAGACGACAAGCAACCAACCTTGGTTACCAAGAAATTCACCTTCTGGGTACCTATAAGAGTGTCGCTGTGTCAATATTTGTATTTAAAGAGGTAGGTGCACTTGATGATTTAAAACTTAAAACTTTAAGCAAATGTTGGTTTCATCATAAATAAAGCTCTTCTACTTGTTTAACAGAAAGCTTACCAGTAATGAATACTTTGTTGTTGTTCTTGTTGTTTATTATGTAGTTTATTGTTGGAGATTTCTATTTGAAGATGCAAAGTTGGTTTTGGCGAGGTTTCAAGTAGGAACCTTGATGCAAACAGTGGACTTTAAATGTTAAGGTGAGTTATTTAACACCATGAGAAAGACTTGCAGCCAGTTACATAAAGATTGCTGATTATAGATCTGCTTCTAAGCTGCTTCATATTCAAACTTTTCAAAACATACAGGTTTCCATCATTTTAAATATACTTTTATGGTTATCAAAGTAAATTATCAGCCACATTTCCACTCAAAACGTGAGCATTTTTGTCATGTTGAGAAAATAAATCCTGGGGATCTGGGTGCTATCTATTTTATCTGGTTGGCAAGGCAGCATTATGACATTTGATGAAATGACGGAGGGAAACAGCACTACACCTTCAGTCCAGCTGGTGGCGGTAGCAGGATAGCATAACTTTTTTCCCCCCTGCTGAATAATTGAAGACAATCAGGCTTACAGTTGTAGAGTTTATTGAGTCCTTAAAATATTACGTTTCTGATTACATAACTAATAATCATAAGATTATTACTCAGCTGTCATGATTTTATGACATTCTTTTTTAACTACATGATTCATTTACAAGAAATTCTAAGTGCTGTTTATAATCCTTATTTTTCTTGGGTCATTATAATATTGTAAACAGAAAATATTGTAATATAAATAAGATTAGAAAAATAAAGAGAGAATGCCAAAGAGCTGGAATACTGCAACCAAACCGTGATCTATGCTCCTGCAGAGCTGTCAGCATAAACCTATTAAAAAATGAAACAATGTTAAAGAGCTCACAATCCACTAAGTTATATTAAAAAAAAAAAGGCAGTCCAATATACCTTTAAGTAAAAATGAGGGATCTCTCTTTGATCATTAGAACTTCATAAATATATTTTGTTTTTACTGGACTTTGGCCAGACAGTTTATTATGAACACTCAGCTAAAATGCTAAAACCTTCTGGGGGGAAAAATTACATTTTATATTCTGTTACTTAGCAGCCAAATTGGGCTTTCAGCAGAGCTTTGCTGCTCTAAAAACTGAATGCACATTTTAAGGTAGGCTCATAATCTGGATGAAATTACTTCTCTGACTAAGTTTTAAGGTCTACTTTCCAGTTTAAAAGATATCCTAAAATAAATTTCTGGGTCAAAATGATAGCAAAAACAGAAAACTGGACGGACGGACAGATGACCAGATTGATACCGACAGAGGACATCCTGGACCTGCATTTTAGTGTCTTATGTTTGGTTTAACACTTAACAACCTGAACTACATGTGGACAATTATCATGAATATAACCAAACCTCTACATTAAATCAGCAGAATCTGCAAAGTAACAAACAGATGCTCCACTTCCAACCAGCTTTGATACAAAAAAAAAAGATCCTGGTAACCTAATAACACAATCCAGCCTCAGTATGATTTAAAACCACAATTAAAGCCATTAAGAGCCCTATTCAAGCACTAAGAGGAGGCTTTGTTTCTTGAATATCTGGCTCATGTCAGTTTTTAGCTTTGTTGGACGGGTGTGGGAAATGTCTCAAACTAATGTACCTTGCCACACCCTAATTAGCTCATTCCTCATGTTTTGAATACATAAATATGACTTTTTTTTATCAGGGATCTGAAAGAAAACAATTATTGTTTTTATGCCCATACAATAAGGATTGGGTGCATCAAGTATAAAGTGTATAGGGAGTTAAAATCTGAAAAGTGTGTTTTACATTTGTATTCAAATGTTCTGCTGGAAGTTTCTTCTCTTATTCAGTGTCAAGTCTTTTGTAGCTTCTCATGAGATTAGCCTTTTATTTACCCAATGCTTCTTTCCCTCTATGACCTGATTCAGTGTTCTGAGAAAAATGGAACCTCAGCATAATGCTGCCGTCACAATGCTACACCCTGAGGTTGGTCTCAGGGGTACAGCTCCCATAACCATATTTAAGAATGGAAGCGATTAGTTTTTTTTTTCTAACCACTCACAATTTTTCATATGTTTGCTGTATAGGCTACCCCGTGACATTTTGCAAACTGCAAAGATGACTTCTTTGTTTTTCCCTGTCTTTCTCCCACAGACTTCTAAAAACAGACATCAGCTCTCTGTGACAGGTGGGGTATTTTTGCGAGGCGTAAAGAGTTATGCATAGGAACATGTCTGCTTTACTATAAAATTCTGCTATTAAGGTCAGGGCAAAGTGAGAGCTACAAAAGATGTATTGAGAATAATTCTATTTTTCAACCAAATATGCAAAGAGCAGAATAGATATTTTCAGTAATTTATAAATTCAATTAAACTGTAAAAACCTTTCTGTTATTAAAAAGGTTCCATTGCAAACTGTAGATTTTTACATAAACTTGGTTTACTCAGATTTTTGAGAGCTAATGTCTTTCTTTTTTTTAGCCTACAAGCATTTACAAGCATTTTATACTCTGTTTATTCCACATCCTGCAAGAAACACTTTGGTATCACACTTGCAATATTATTTTGCACCACCAACATAGTAGAAGCTTTTATAATCCTTCTAAATAGGACAAAACTCCATGTTCTACTGCATTTTGCAGCATATTTATTTTCCACTGCACTAAACATTTCCATATAAATGCCACACATTACTCACACTTTCCTCATCAAACTGCTCTTGCAGTATACAAAAATTATTTTGAATGTTTTTAACAGTATATATGTTTTGTTTTTTTGGTATTCCAGTTTTACCAGCTTTAGGTCGTTATACAATAACTTAGACAGGTGACTGGTGTGTTTATTTTCAAAGTAAACATCAGATTCATTCAAGCGTTGAAAGAATTGAAGAAAACTCAAAGAATTTAGAGTATTTTTAGATTTTCGTTTCGTTTTAACCAAGGCTGAACCAGACTTTTCTCAGGCCCCATTTAAGCCCCACCCCTTAAACTATAATTTACATAAAGGAAAATTGTATGCTTTTAGGTATTACATTATAAACAAATCAACATATCTGAACTTATTTTACTGGTGTTAGAAGTTTAAAATGTTAAGTCTGCTTTTGAATAATTTTAAATTGTTTAAGGTTTATTAAAAAGCAGACTTAAATAGATGGATTTTTAGCAACTACCTTTCTTTATATATAAGATTTTTTTTCTGTGATGGAAGTACTGTCAATTTAAGGAGAGACTAAGGAGTTTGACCCACATGTGAGAGGATTTTAGAAATATTTGACTTTTACTTTAACTAAACATGGAACAGTTCTTTTTTTCAAAGGCCAGTTTGCAAACCCTAATCCACATTAAACTGACTATAAACTAAAAGATCAAGCTAATGCTGGAGATTGTCAAGCTACTATATTGTTATATTGGTTTAGTTTTTTGACCAACAGGCAGAATCACACAAAGAACCAGTGAATTTTAACATTTTATTTTTAAAAAAGGCAACAAGAATCTGGAAGCAGAGAACTGCAGGAGGTCAACTGGACTTTCTGGTTGGTCCGAGGTGAGAAAGCTGACTGATCAGGAAGGAGTTGGATGATGACAACTGATAAATGTACTTTTTTGAGACATGAATAGGAGGTAGCCTGGATCTGTAGGGGTTGGATTATGTGGGCTTTGCAGACTGAACCCCAGAAGTGCAGAAGAATGTAAGGAAGATCCAAAATTGTTGATGGAGAGCAGGCAGGTAGGTGATTAAGACTGAGGAGACTAACAGATTTTTGCTGGTTGTCTAGAACAATAGCAGAGTCCAAACTAAGAGATTCACAACAGACAAATTTCAAAATGAAGGCTGTTCCTAATTTAGGTTTTTGGCTGGATTACGATCAGGTGTAACCATCCAGCGATAAGAGGTGATCCTACATATAGGCCAGTCATCTTGATAGAAAAGCATTCTCAGGTGTGCAGCAACACCGGTCAGCCCAGCCACCAGCAAAGATCCTCTCTATAACAGGAAGATCACTCATACCAGAAAAACAGCAAAACCCCAGAGACCCTAAAATAGGTGTTTCTAAAAATGCTTTAGGCTGTACTTTAAATAACAAGTCCTGCAGGGAGAACCTCATTTCTTTCTTTTTTTTTTTTTTTTCTTGTTGGACAGTTTAAAAACAAAAGACTCAGAAACCTCACCTTCCATTTGTTTGGACAGAGAAAGCAATGTTGTTGTACAGGATGCACAAAGAGCCCAGCCTTTCAGACAGGTCAGACTGCATTGTTTGGGAGGAGAAACCAGTAAGAAAAGAAGAATATAACATGCAACTTAAATAAAACGCTTTCTGTATGTGTGCAGAAGGACAAATCAGACATGTCTTATTATTATTATTATGAGATACAAGAATTATTTTTCTCATTTCATCTCTTCCTCCCTCAACAGCAAATGCCCAACCAAGCAATAACGTAACTCAATATCCTATTTCCAAGAATTGCAAACCAATTCTCAGAAAAACAAAAGAAATGGCATCTCAGTGTGGAACCAGAGTAACCTGACAACAGCCAGATTTCTGGCTGTTGTCAGGTTAGAACCAGAGTGCATATTTAATAAAAAAAACAAAAGCAAAAACAATAATCACTTTGGGGATGCTTTTTTTTTTTACAGAGATTGCATTTCATATATCATAAAGTGCATATAAACATTGTATTTACATAAAACAGAAATAAAAACAAATCTAAAGTACCTTAAAGGTACAGATGATGAGTATTTACAGAGAATTATAGGCAGCATGATTCCCTTCATCATTTTTCCTTATACAAATATTTTCCTTATAATCTAGTCTTTAATATCACGCGTTGATCTCTTACCAGGCATTTTATTGTTCTCCAAATACAACATAATTTGTATGTGTTATACTGGGTGCTTTTATCTAAAAATTACAACACTTTTCACATCATGTCCCCAATCTTCTCAGTTTTTTTAACAAAGTTTTGTCCACCACTCATTTTTTCTTCTGCAAATCGCCCTCATAGATCAGCATCGTATGGTGTCCCGTTGAAGGACGGGTTGCTGACCCCTGAGCGCGCCGCGGGGGTCTTGGCCCTGGGGAAGGACACATCATCATCCAGAGTGTCCCTGTAGGAGGACGGGACGCTGTTGGCGGCGCTGCTCCTGCTGCGGCTCAGGCTCGGCACATCCACGCGTCTCGGTTCCCTTTTAGGTTGGCTCCTGGGGCCCAGGACCTCCTCAATCGGCCTCTCTCCGCGGTTCTTCCCTCCGCAGCAGCGGCAGCAGCCGATGGTCATCACGAAGCCCCCCAGGACCTCAAATATCCCCCCGATGAAGCCCAGCACCAGGCAGTAACCTGCGCGCACGCCCAGCAGCGGGGTCTCCGTTGTGATCTCGTCGATGATGTGGGTGTACCACGAGACTGCGATGAGGGTCAGGACGCCCGAGATGAAGATGAGGAACCCTGCGCACGTGCAAACCGCCCAGTTCGGCGCGCGGTCTGTCCAGCAGCGCACGCCTGGGATGGCCACACAGATCCCTATCAGAGTCACAATCAGGGAGCCCAGCATCAGGCCCTGAGAAATCTCTATGATGTCGTTCCCGAAGTAAGTGGTGTCCTCTTGACCACACTGCTGCCTTTCAGTGGCTGTGGCGGCGATGCAGATGTCCCAGATCCCCTGTTCAATGACGCGGTCAGGTGGGAGGTTTGGGAAATCCTGCAGGGTTCTCCAGTTTGGGGCCACAGTGGTGACCAGGTTGAGGACCCATCCGCAGGGGGCCATCACCATGCCGAAGATGAGGATGCCCGGGGTGCGCATGGAGGTGCGGACCCATTCTGTGTCTCTTCTTCTGAAGATCGACTTAAAATCCGGCATTGTGGCGCTTTATCGTTCTTAATCCCTGGTTTCCCTGAGACGAACAGGAGCGACTGACTTTGACAGCTATAAGCGACGCTGTTAAAAACAAGTCCGACTGAAACCTGGCAGGATGGGCGGACACTTCCCTCCAAACCGGACAGGTGCGCTGCGCTGCAGACGGGCGGGGACATTTTCCTCCTCCTCACCTGAGGGGTGACAGAGGGCAGTTTCGATGAGCCTTTTTCTATTTCACATGAGTCTATCTGCTAAAGAACACGTCTTGTTTACTTGCTTAATTTAATTTTTCTTGATTACTTCACGCTATTATTTCCATTCCCAACCCTAAATGAAGAGACGCTCATTCATTTAAAATGTATGTTGCAGTGCCAAAAACAACAATAAGAGAAAAGTACATTTTGTGTTATTCTCATATAGGCTATTTGGAATCAGATGTTGGCATAAGACATTCAATTTAATCCACACATTTATTAAAATTAAAGTCCAGAAATTAATAATGTTGATAAAGTCAAATGAGGGAATAATGTTTGACCACATGAAGAATAAAATATTTAAAAAGTGATCAGTTAAATTTAAATTTAAGTTAAATTTGATCATTTATATTAACCCTTCATAGGGCACTCAGTGAAATACTAAAAATTAAAATTTCAAGCCAAATTGGAATCCAAAACAATACCTTATTACCTTTGTAACATTAAAAAAATATGGATATTTTAATGGCAAAAAAAAAAATGTCAATGTAATAACAAGAAGCACCAACTTGCCCGAATATATTAACAAAAATAACAAAAGTGCTTCTAGTGAAAGAAACAATTTTTTTGGGGTACAACATAACCTTAGAGGCATTAATGCTGATACTGGCACTTACATTTTTTAGTTTTTAAACTTCAATATAATTGTTAACTAGGCTGATGAACTTTTTAACTTTTCAATTAGCCTTTTACCTTTTTTTCTTGAGTTAACTTTTTTTCCAACTTAATTTACGGTAGGTAATATATCATTCAAGGGCTCATCTAATTGGTTAAATACCAAAGTAAGATGTACAGCCATGTATTAGTATCTTTGCTGAATGGCTGGATATAGAGCTTGAGCTTCTAGACCTCACAGAGTGACGGAGGGGGGGTGGAGACTCCATTTGTAAGGGTGATGTAAGGGATCAAAAACGTTATTAGTAACTCAGGATTTCCCGGATTGGTAGTAATTGGTGGCCTTTATGGAGCTGAACCATAAGGAGTAGTGGAAAAAGCAAAGGAGCTCTCTGAGGAGCCTGAAAAAAAAAATGCAACCATTTTTTGCATTTTACTTATTTAGTTACTTAAACAGAATTGTTTTATGTCCTACCCTGCTAACATGAAACAACTATGTTAAAGCAAGTAAAGATGATTAAATGCCCAAAAAAGTTGCATTTTTTTTCAGTGTGCTGCAAGTCAGTTAGAGATGGATTGCAAAAAGTTTCAGGCAGCATTCTTCAGCGAAAACCTGCAGTTTCTCCTTTCTAGACATCCAAGTGCTTCTATGTTCTTGATTACTTTTAAACAGAGGTTTAAAAGTATTGGGACAAGATTTGTTGAAAAGCCAACGGATGAGAAACTTTTGCAACAAATTAATTTCTTCATTTATGTTCACTCACTGCTGGACAACATTTCAAAGTTTTTGTTCTCAAAAAAACTGTATTTAGTAACATTTAGTAAGGGTACTAGTAAGGGTGGTTTATAGGGTTCATAGGCGAAAACTCAGAGGGCTACATGGAACAAAGCAAAAAGAAAAGAAAAAAAAAAAATCCAGACACATAGCTATGGAATTAAGCTAACAGGATAAAACCTGCTGTCAGTGGTTGATCCACTGACAGCAGGTCTGTAATGTATTTTGGGACTAAACCATTAATCAGTGATCAGAAATGATCATTGTTTTATAACTTTTTTATGCATGGCTTCATTAATGAACTAACTTGTATAGATTTCATATTTTATTTGTGGATCATTAAGGTTCCTTAAATAAATCTGATGCTGACTCCATGCCAGTCATCCCATTAGTGATATATTCAAAAATCTACCTATTATACTACTACCTATTAGATACGTTGCTTTATCTTTTTTTTTTTTTTTGTAATTTGGGTGGGTGAGTCCAGGTTAAGTGATCCATCTATAGTCAGTCTTTTCAAAACTTATCAGAGGGAATAAGAAATAGAAAACTCTATATAGGAGGGAGAAAATTATGATGTAACGCCAAGATCCAAACATTTGTGGCACAAATTCATCAACTTTTTCATTTCTGAAGTGTATTTTTTTATCTAAACACAACTTTTGCTGTGATCAGTAATGACTCTGAAGAAGGCTGAAACCCATTGGTCTACTGATTAAGTTTCTCCAAAGTACTTAATTTGATGCTGTAGTTTTCATCTGACTAGATAAAACATTTGGCGTAATAAAGAATTCTGATTTTAGACAATATAAATAGTTTAAAAAGTTGGACTGCAACAAAGTGTTACAGTTTTCTAGTATTGAAAGCTTCGGCTCCAATATTTCTGAGAAGCAGAGTTCTGTTGGTTTAAAACTGACCGGTTTGGAAGCTTGTTTGGACTTAAAGATGCCACCGTGCTGTTATGGGACTATTAATAGAAGGAATGCGGTTCTGCAGGATTCTCTTTAAATAACATAGATTCATTTAATTCCCACCACCTTTCTTCCTCTTTTGTTAAAGCCTGTTTTTGTGTTGATGCTGTGCAATATAAAAAAAGTATTTCTTCCTTTTCTTTTTCTATTCAGATTTATTTATAATGAAGCTACAAAGTCCAATCTCGATCATCTGGATTACGGATTTGATGAGGAATGCCTGTTTAAAAATAAAACTAATAGTAGAGTATCTAGCATGCATTTGCATTCAGCCACCCAGAACCGACCATTTGTAGACTCATCCTTCATTATTGCGGTAAATCTATTCAGGTTATGTCTCTACCAACTTTGCACCTCTAGAAACTGATTTCTCTGTTCTATTTTGTTTTGCAAAATAGCTTAAGCTCAAATTCATGTTGCCATATTTCCAAAATAAGAGCTGGAACTTTTATAATACTGCTTAGAATTAAACAGCTCCATTGTGACTCCGGTTCGATGTTAAAATGTAAAAAATATTTTTCTTAAAAAGCGTCTGTGCAGGCAACTCCCAGTCGGTCTTTAATTGTCAAGGAAATAGATTCAGGTTGTGGGAAAAGACTCAGATTCTAACTCAAATTCATGCAACTTAACACAACGGCTAAAAGTTTTCATTTATGCTGCAATATGCTGATTTTAAGGTCAGCTTTTCTTAAGGAAGTTAAGCAGGTTGTGTGTGTTTTTGTTTAATGTGTGAGTAAGTCAGAATGAGCAGCTGAAAGAGGAATGATGGGTATGTCAACCAACCAGCCTGACTTCACACTGTGTGTTTTTGTCTTTGCGTTCAGAGTCTGACAACCTCTCATTGTCTCGTCCCCATTTACAAATCTGAATCTTTGTCACAGTGACTAAGAACCTTTCAAAAGCTGTCATCTTCTTCTTTCAGAAATTCTAAAAAGTTCATAAAAATCCTCCTACTATCATCACTGCTGGGACTTACTGATTTATAAGCTTCTCTGAATCAATACAGGACATATTTTAAAGGAAACTTAACAGATACTAAAAATTGAATATCTAAAATGAATAAATCCTCAGTAAGTGTTTTTTTTGTTTGTAAAAGCAGAGGATTTGGAGGTTTGCTGATCTGTGGAATAGTTTGGTACTGAGTTCATCTTTAATTCCTAAAACTAATTAAGTATTCTGAATTTAATCAAATATGTGACCTGATAGGCAAACATCAGAGGTGTCAAGTACAAAGTACAAATACTTTGTTACCTTACTTAAGTAGACATTTTAGCTACCCAAGGAGAGACACAGGTTGAACTTCCGTTTCACCTTCACTGTATACACCTAACAAGCTGACAGACTTGCTGCGTTTCTTTTCATGAGGTTAGCGCTGCAAAAATATGTCAATCTAGTTATTTCCTGTAAGTGTCCCAGTCTCGTAAAACATTTACCTGTTTATAGTTTCGACTAAAACTGCTGATTCACATCATGTTCAGATGCCACTGAGACAAATTGAAAAAAAAAAATGTTAGAACTGTAAATTTACAGTAATTTTTGCTATTTTTCAAGGCTGCACTTTTAAAAAGATAAAATTGTCCAGTGAGCTGTTTCCAAATGAAATTTCTTTTTGTTTTACACTTGTGTAAACAAAATGACAAATAAAATCTGTCTAAAGTCTAAATTGAAATTTTGGATTTTTGTGTTTTGTTTACATAGCTGTTCATAAACAGATTATATTGATCAGGAAGTTGATTAATTTGTCTAAAACATTTATTCATCTCCCTTAATAATAAAGTAAGAGGAAAATGACAGCAGATATAGACATAAGTGGAAAAAACTTTATACCATCAAACAGCCCAAATTTGTAACCCCTTATTATATTTTAATGTTTTCATGCAAAAATCAATTCAAATTAAAAATGTAAAAAGGCCCAACAAAAAAAGCAAAGGTGGAGCCTTCGTGGAACCTGCGGACAAACCCATTTGGGACCCATTTTTCAGCACATTTGGGTCCCATCCATGGTCTGGCAAAATATTGTTTTTTGACTGATAGGTACCATATGGGCCCCATATTTATTGCCCAGATAGGTCCCATGTAAAGCCCAGGTAGATCCCACACAAGGCCCGTATGGTCAAAACACTTTATGGGGCCTTTATGGAACCTCTGGACAAACCAATTGGGGACCCATATTTACAGCCCATAGTTAACCCATATGAGGCCCATGTAGAATTGCTGGCTGGGTAACACCTAAAATAATGAGGGATTATCTTAAAACATGAGCTGGCATACTCTGCTTGATTCCTGTTCTTTTCTTTTTTTTTTGCAGAGAATAATCAGCTAAATGTTATTCAGTGATTAAGTGATAAAAATAAAAGAATGTTGAAGAAGTAGAGGGAATAACAATACTAATCCCTGAAAAGGGAGGGAAGAATTGATATTCTTATTGTATATTTTACTAATAGCAGTTCTGAAATCTGATTAGATTCTTAAAATCTAATGTTTAGGTCAAAATAAAGACCTTCTTCGTACTTATGGAGTTATTTTTGTGCTTTTCTTAAATATAAGAAAAAAAGAAATCTGATAGGGGAAAGTAATTTAGAAAGTAAAATTGATATATTAGAGATGTTACATGAGACTGAAGAAAAGATTTTGAGAGAAAAAAAATATTTTCTCATAGAATAAATAAAGATAAATTGACATTTGAAAGATTATTTCTAAAGGAGAAAAGCCCTCAGAAAAATATATTTTTTATCTTCTTTTGTTTGTTTGTTTGTTTTTCGCAATCAGAATACAAACATTTTGTCACAAAAACAGACTTCTATCAACAACTTGTTTCCCCTCTTTTCCCCAAATCTCCTTGCTCTCTTTTCTGAAATTTTCTCTCAATGAGAAAAAATGGGTCATGGGCGTGAGAGAGAAATGAAATTCTGAGAGAAAATATTTTCACCCTGATTGCAAAAAACAAACAAACAAACAAAAAATATTTCCCTGTGAATTTATTTTCCTAATATCAATGTATCTTTTATTTAATAAATGACAAACTTTCCTCTAAAAGCCTGAAATAATTTTCCCCTTTCAACAATGTGTTGTCTTTAATTTAATAAAAACACAAAAGTAACTCTTTACATTTTAGGATATACATATCTGTTTGAGTTCAGCTTTAGGATTTATAAAGAATTTATAACCTAGGGCGACATTCCATAATATTTGCTGCCACCTGGTGGCGAAGTAGTGTTACAGCTGTAACGTTCTTGCAAAACACCACCTGATTTTGCACAGGGTTTGTTTCAAAATGTAAAAACATCCTCATTATTGATTACATAGACACACTTTGCTCTGTCACATTAAGTATTTATTTTCTACATTCCCACCAGTGGGGAGATCACTGCCTTCAGAAAATTAAAAGGGTAAAAGGAAAATAAAGACAATAGAATTTTTCCCAACCTGTAAGGTAAAAAACAACAACATTTGACAAGTTTTTTTTCTGTGCTGTGTTAACTACATTTCTAATCTCATCTTATGTTTCGCACATATGTTTCGAAAATAAAGTATGTACTGTGGGGGCTTTATTTGTGCTTTTTTCATTGACAGAGCAACCGAGGCAAGTACTCACTACGTAATAGAGAAACCAATTAACCTAAAAGTCATATTTTGTTTATTAGGAGAAAGCCAAAATAGTGGGAGAGAAACCATTTATTTGCTTCACTGTGCAGCCGACATTTCAACCTATCAGCTGTTTTCCAGAGTTACCACTAGGTGTCAGTATTGTTCAGTCAGAAACCAATTATGAACTACTAAAACTGACTTTAAGGACATAACCCAGGTACTAATAAAATAAATGTATGTACATAGATCATAAGAATTATTGCAAGATCAACAGCAACAAGATGTCGTTTGAGAAAAAAAGTGTAAATTAAAAAAAAAAAGAATAATATTTTTTATAGTAATCACCTTTTTTAATTTTCTTACTCAAAATATGTCTTTAACTTTAATCAGACGCTTTATATTTTGTGTTTTATGACTTATGATCTAGCGGCTGAAATCCCGGGTGATCCCGGGCGGAAGTTTGTCTTTCTGGCAGGAAGCTGTCAGCGTTGTTATTGTTGCTGCTGGGGGACCGTTGTGTTGTGAAAATGGCGACGCCTCGTCGCTGCTCCCAGCAGCAGCAGCAGCAGCCGTGCTCCCTGCTGTCCTCGCCTCCCCGCAGTGCTTCTACCCTCCTCAGCCCGCCGGGCTCTCCGTCTGCACCTGCCGAAGATGCGGCCGGCAGGCCTCCCCTTGGAGCGGGGAACGTGGCTGACGGTGAGGTAGCTCCGACCTCTCCCAGCATCTCCTCCCCGGCTGTGGCCCCCTCTCCCAGCAGCAGCGCTACTAGCTCCCCGACCACCACCGAGGGAGGCGACAGTAGCCCCGGCTCTACGCCGGACTCTGGCGGAAGCAGCAGCAGCGCTGTTAGCGGCGATGCAAACGGCGCTTTTAGAGAGCTGTTTGAAGCCTGTCGGAACGGAGATGTTTCCAGAGTAAAGAAGCTGGTGGATGCAGTGAATGTGAACGCTAAAGACATGGCTGGACGCAAATCTACACCCCTGCATTTCGCTGCAGGTAACTCCAGACAAAGCAGAGCTCCCTCTGTGTTTATAAATAATCAACAGACATCAACAGACAGGTAGGGCAGAAGATTAGGGCCACTGAAAATATAAAAAAAAAGTTAACTGATTTTTAATTTTTTTTATTACAGGCAAAAAAAAGTCAGAATTCTGATTTTAATTTCAGAATTCTGACTCTATCTCAAAGTTCTGACTTTAATCTGAGTATCCTGACTTTAATCTCAGAATTCTTACTTTAATCTGAGAATTCTGACTCTAATCTGAGAATTCTGACTTTAATCTGAGAATTCTGACTCTAATCTGAGAATTCTGTCTTTAATCTGAGAATTCTGACTCTAATCTGAAAATTCTGTCTTTAATCTGAGAATTCTGACTCTAATCTGAGAATTCTGACAGCTAACAAACATGGTAGCATCAAGCCGTAGCCATGTCTGTTTTAGAGACTAAACTAGCTGTCTTGTTTTAATCAACTTCTGCTCTTCCATTAATGAAATAGAATCACGAGGGACCCCTTGAGCACGTAAAAAGTCGCCTAATTTCGTAATTTTCCACCAATGTGTTACTGTTACAACACACATCTTTGTCAGTGAGGCTGAGTGCTCCCACACCTCTTTCTTCATGGTGCCCATCAACATTAAGATCCTCAATTCTGAGATTAAAGTCAGAATTCTGACTTTTTTCCCATATTAAACTGCAATAAAATCTAAAAATCAGTTCACTTTTTTTTCAGTGGCCCTAATCCTCTTCCGTAGAGAGGGGACTGTCGACGTCAAAATGACAAAAAAGAAAACGTTAACAGAAATAAAATGTTTACATCCCGTCCATATGTTTCTTATTCATAACATAATAAAAACTAAATCACTCACTGACAGTAATGGCCAATTATCATGTAAAATAATGTCTCACCTTTATATTGTTTGCCTTTCATGGTTTTGTTATTCATGATACTTTTGCAAATTTCTTTCAATCTGTCTTTTAATAGAATAGAAAATCCCTTTATTCCCACAGTGGGGAATTTATTGTGTTTACAGCAAAAAGATTATAGGGGAAAAAAAATGGTCGCACAAATGTGGACCTCAGAAATAAGAAAAACATAATAGTGAAGAGTTAAAAAATGTTTAAAATGTTTTAATCATAGTTTTATTCAGTTATCAAAAATGTTCTTGTTTTATCACATCTTATAAATACATTGGTTATCTGTATTTTAGTTTATTCAATCAGTATTTAATACATCTGGCTGGATAAATTATTAACAAATAACGATGTACACATTTTTTAAGGTCATTACATTTTAAAAGCAATATTAACTCTTTTAGGATAGAAAGATCCACTTAAAGCTGAAGTCTGTAAGTTTTTAAAAATCACTTTTTTGTCATATTGGCTAAAACTGTCCCTATGCCCAGACAGCAGTACATGTGATATGTAACCTGTGAAAAAAACTGCTTCAATTGGTCCCGCCTACTGCCTGTATTTCAATCTGGAAAGAATAATTCGGGACGAGTCAAAACAACCAATCACAGCCAGAGGAGCGTCTGATGGAGTGTCAATCACAGCTCACACACGCCTAATCCCGCCCCCCCCCCCCCCCCCTTCTGGTCGCATGCGGTAGCCGCGCAGATGCTGTGAGAGGGGTGGAGCTTGGAGGTGGGGCATGAGTGAAGCAGAGAGGGTGGGGGAGTGACGTGAAACCTGTTTTTCTTCAAATTTTCAGTCGAAGTCTGCTCTCTTCTCAATGTTACAGACTGCAGCTTTAATACAAGAAAAATGTTACAAAAACGCTGCCTCATCAATTAGTCGTAGATTGATGAACTTTGCATGGCTAATGCAAAGAAGAGGCTTTGCAGCATTCACTGCAGGACCAGCAGGTTCTGTAACAGCTTTTTCCCCCCTGCCATAAGACTGTTGAACTGTTGAAAACTCTAATCAAGTCACAAATGGAGACTCTGCATCACACTGATAACATCATACTTGCACAGTATGGTGAATCTTTAAAATAGAACTCAACTCGGTGTTTCTACTGAATTTTGCACCATTATTAATTTTTTGCACTGCTCTACACCTTCTACATCAATGCCTTTTGCACCATGTCTCTCCTGCTCTGTTTACATTTTGATCACCGCTTTACTTTATAAATGGAGTTCATTTTCACTGCTAAGCTGCTCATTCACTGTCGGAAAGCTGTTTAGTATACATTCTGTGTATATAAAATTACAATAAATTTTGTCTAAGTCTAATATTGGTGCATGCTTATTACTTATTATTCCTATTATGTATTTTAGCCCGTTTTGCAAAGGTTGGACTAGTTGTTGCTCTGCTACTGAAATTAACCAATGGTATTTTTAGTCCAGGTTATCTTACTATACGAACCTCATGTGCTATGGGCCCCTGTCTCAAGTGGGCCCCTGTCTGAAGGCTGAACTGAGGCTGAAATGAACTCCCTGCAGCAGCAACAGCAGCTTCTTTCTGCTTTGGCCTCTCTAGCTTTGATGTTGGAGATATTTTTGGGGATCTGCTCTGCATAAACCACATTGAATCCTTCCCAGCGTGCGATTAAATACTCATACTTTGAAATTTTTAGCTGTTTTATTTCTAACGGTGAAACATTATATGACCCTAAATATGACTTGTTACAACAGTGAGATAAGTAACACATCTATGAATATGACTTTCAAGTCAATGTTCTTTATTCAGTGCGGTCAGAAGCATAGATTAGGAGGCTGGCTGATTTGAACTCATCTAAATAGAACAGGAGAGAAAAATGTGACTTTCACTCACTCCTAACTGCCATTTATTTCTGATCAACACTCTGCTTTCTTTCACTTTTTCTCTTAGGTTTTGGTCGAAAAGATGTGGTGGACCACCTTCTTCAGACTGGTGCAAGTGTGCACGCTCGAGACGACGGGGGGCTCATCCCGCTGCACAACGCCTGCTCGTTTGGTCATTCTGAGGTAAGAAAGAAGCATTTAGCGTTTCTGGTGATCAGATGGACGGGCGATGCTGATGGACCCGTCAGCTTTGCTTCAGCCAGTCTTCCCCAGGACAGCAGTGGCTGAGATTGGCACCATCAGCGTTTTAATGTGTGATATGTAGTGTAAAATAAAGCTCTGTATAAGTACAGGCTGTTTATCATTTTACCACAGTGTTTAAACTGATGTGTTCAATATGTTATTGTTAATTTCAGGTGTGTCATATGAGAGATGGGTTTTCATATGAATGTTCTTTTCCTAAAACGTTTAAAAATAAAAATTGTGCTTGTTTATTCCCAGTGGTTTTAGAGCTGATATATCTCCTCACATTTGTCTGGATGATGCGATATTCCAGGTTTTCTTTTGCGGGCTGCTCAGTATCAAGAACCTATTATTGGTGTTTAAAAGTGTCTGTGGCTCTGAAGCCGCCACTGAAAACCCGGGTTTTTCTATACAGGGTTTACCCGCTAACTATCAGCTTTTGGCTCTTTTCCCATTTGAATGAAAAGCAGAGTTTGACCCCTCGCTGGAAAGCTGCATGGCCACTGTCTACCACCACTGCGCGTCTGATAACAGCATCACTATGGGTGAGCGTTGATGATGTCGACAGTGTGACGGAAATCAGGGAAGTAAAAAATGGAGAGTAACATGAACGGGAGTCAGAGCGTGGTCGGTATTCTTTATTGTTTAGCTCTTTTATCTGTCCAATTCTCTCTCACCAGCGCTGTATCATGTTTATGGAATGTAAACAGTCATTTTGGCTTGTTAGATCAGAAGCGACTGGTGCGGTGTGTTGATATCCGTACGTTACGTTCAATGGTATCACATAATTTAGCGGGTCAACCCGGTTCTGGTGTTCCCACTGCATGTCAGTCAGGGCCGAGGTGATTTTAGCACGGCTCTCTTGCGGAGTTGTTTGACCCGGGTAGACACGCGTCATTGAGCTGTTCCCACTGCCACTAAAAGCGGATTATTCCCAGGTTAAAACAGGATTTTCGGCCAGTGGAAAAGAGGTTTAAGAGTGGTTTGTTGTTTTGCCAAAAGGGCTGTGATTAAAGGTGTCATCAACTCCGCTCCAATAAAACCCTATAAAATGTTTGCTTAGCGTTTTTCGTTTTCTTTTTTAATCAAGCTTTTTTGTTGTATATTAAGTATGCACTATCATTCAGTAATTTTTTCTATATAACCTAATTTACGGAAATTATTTTATGGAAAAATATATTTCATGAGCCTAAATAATAGGATTTGATCAAAGAATAAAATCTTATTTAGTTTTCCTTAGGATATCTAGGGCAAGTGTCGCTTCTTCATCTGTCTGGGGGCCTGCAGGGTGATTCGAGGGCCACCCACACCTGCTATTAAGCATATTTTCCTTTTTAAAGAAGCTTTGTATATTCTTTATACACAAGCATGCCCATTCATACATGCTCGGAAGTTTAGTTCCAGGTTTTCAAGGATACACCTATACTAAATACTAGGCAACAGATATATACCACCTGAATAATGTTGTGTAAACAATATAGCTTTTGCCTTCGACACACATGTATATCTAAGGGATACTGCTGCTCTTGAAGCCTTTTTATGTTTTCTTTGCTCATCTGTTGTCTTCTTTTTGATGTTATGTTCTCTGTTTTTTTTCCTTTCCCTCCAGTATCACACAGGTGTGGAAGCAGACTTCTAGGAGTTGCTCTATATCTTATTTATTGTCTATTTTTCCTTTTTTGTTTTATTTTCTCTCTTTTCATGAGCTCTTTCCTCTCTCTCTCTCTCTCTCTCTCTCTCTCTCTCTCTCTCTCTCTCTCTCTCTCTCTCTCTCTCTCTCTCTCTCTCTCTCTCTCTGTGTGTCCCCTTAGTTCTTATTATCTTTTTTCTCACTTCCCTTTCCATCTCCATGTTGGTTGTATACAATTTTACTGCTTAAATCATTTCCAATAAAGTTTCATACACAAAGTACCAAGCAGAACCTTATAGCATCAACCATAATGGTCTGTTGTGCTATCAGCTAACTCTGGGACATCCATTCCCAGAACTATATTGGCAAAACAGGACATGGGGAAAACAAAATCCTACATATGTCCTAATGAAATATGAATAATTGCATCAATAACTAAGTAAGACTAAGAAAAATGTAAATTCGAATCTGAAAAATGTGAGAAATTTGCAGCAAACCAGTCACTATGAAAACAAATGTTTTTTTTGTGTGAATTCTGCCTCGGATTTATTGAATAAACAGCTACTAAATTGCATAGTTTTATTTCTCCCTGCTTTGAAATCAGTGCATTAAAGAACAACAGGTAGCCAGAAAACTTTTCAGCTCTTAGAAAAAGGTGAAATTTTTTTTTTTTCAGTTGAATAATGTGATTTAAGTGATAGTTTTATTTGATTGCTGATTATTTTCTTCTGTTTTGGAACACAAACAACTTAGTTTTAGTTTGTAATGACTATAACAGCTTCTTGACGCCCAAACACTACTCATATAATTAGTCACAATTCATTGTTATTAAATAGATTTTTGCAATATTGACATTACCTAAAGTTATATTATTAATTAAAACTCTGTTTTTTCCTAGTAGGAACCTTTTGATAATTCAAGATGCCTTGATCTGTTAACTTATAAAACCAAAATGAGTTTAAAAAAAAAAAGCATTGGTGGGTTGATTTTCTTATGTAATAATTTTTTTCCTTTTAGTCTAAATCTGATTTTTGTTTCAGGTGGTGTCCTTGCTCCTGTGTCAAGGCGCTGACCCCAACGCAAGAGACAACTGGAACTACACGCCGCTACACGAAGCTGCCATCAAGGGCAAGATCGATGTCTGCATAGGTAAGCCCACGGAAACATGTACATTTAATTTATATTACGAAATCCATTTGTAGCTTTTGACAAAAGGGGAGGATTGTGTGAAGGAGCAAAAACAGAAGAACTGATGCTGCCTTGTTCATTTGGGCCCGATGAAAGTCATCGGCTTCTCTGTGTTTTCTACACATCATTCATTTCTTCTGTGAAAGTTTGATTATTTGTTGTTAGAGTCGGTTTCGGCATTAAGACAAAGGCATGGAATCTTGAGTCTTGTGGCGTCACAGATTGGTTTTTCGAAGACGTAATGAGCCACCCACAGGCTGGATGCGTTCATTTCCCATCTACAATAAAGCATCAAATTTCCTATAAACTCCAATTACTGCATCAGTGTTTAACACTCATGCTGGAGAGAAGAGACCATTGATTTCTTTTGGATCTCAGTGGATTTTCACATTAGTATTGCAGAGAGTGCTTGGAAAAACATCAGAGGTGTTTGGTTGCTTGAATCCACAGCAACCTCGACCTTTGTTCGGACGTCCATCAGTCAGCCGTAAACCCAAACTGCTACGCTAGGCTAGGACATGCTGACTGACAGTAGAGCGTTTTCGAAATAAATCTGAAAGAAAATATACAGGAAGAAAACTGCCTCCTCATCATTGACGGCTTCATTCTTTTCATGTTTCCACCCGCGATGTTTTCAGTTAGCGGAGGGAATCTTTGGTAAAACTGACAGGCCATCAGTAACAAAGGTGTCCATCAATAAAGGAAGACTTTCACATGTTTTGAAAATCAGTCAAAACCATCTGAACGAGGAAGAGCTGGGCTCCTACTGACTGGAATAATCTGGACATTGATTGAAGTATTTTCCTGATCTGAATAAATGTGAGATAAAACAAAAAAAACTAACAATATTTGTTTTAAAAACTTAATTCTTTATTTTATATTTAAAATCTGCATCCGTCCGTCATAACAGTTTTACCTCATTGGCAAACGTCTTTTCATTACAGCGCCCTACTGCCTAAATCTTTTTATATACATACCTAGAATACAGCTGCATCTTAAAATAGATTGGCTGGGTTAGATAAAGTTTTCTAGACCTTCCTCTTTCTACAAGAAATAAAAATCTGTAAGATCGAGGAGTATCAGAACCAGAGCTTCTTAAATGTTGAAATGTTTTGATTTAATGCCCAAAGCACCGTTTATAAATTATAGTTTGATGGTTTTTTGTCACTATTTGTGCATTATTGCTTAAATGTCCCTCAGAAGAGGAGCAGCATCATACATCTCAGCCCTTTGGACACTTTCCAGTTTGGTAATTAAGCATCCTTCAAACTGCTAATGTATTTTTGGCTTTATTTAAACATTGAGATTTAAAAAGTGTTGTTTCTAAGGATCAGGCTTATACCATATTTATCTCATATATTGGGAACTCTTTTCTAATTCTCATAAAAGTGAACAGCCTCATTGAAGACCCTTCCAATAGGGATCTTTATTGCTTTATTCTTTAACTTTTATTTTTATTTTTATATCTGGCTTTGCATAATCTCTGAATTACAAAATCTGGAGTTATCCAACCAGGCTGTGATCTTTTCTGCTTTTACTACTTTGGGCTTTTTTAATGTCCCAAGAAATAGTTTGTTTAGAGCTTTCGGTTTCCAAGATTTGGAAACGTTTTCTAGAATCTGAGTTTTTACAGATGTCTTTAATATGAATCATCTCCCCTGTTTAGCATATTTTATGACTATTATACTTCCAACTGCTCTTAAGGCTATTATATATCATCTAAACGTTCACACCCCTTTAAACCATTTCACATTTTCCCTCAACTGTATTTGCTCTTTAATATATCTGTATTCTTTTCTTTTTTTTGCCATACACTAACACAGGCTAATATAAAAAAAGTGAAATGAAAAGCCTTCCCAAATAGCCTTGATGGAAGAGGGAAAGAAAGGAGGAAGGAAGCCTTTAGATGTTCACACATGCAAAAGTAGGTCTGAAATTTAACTAGCAAAGAACTCAGTGTGTTAAAGCTAAACGCTGGACATTTATCTGAGAATGCCAATGCTACAGTGATAAACGGTGCAGGGAGTGTCATGCTGTGGGCCTGCTTTTCTTCGACAACAACAGATAGAAAAGTCAGAGAGTTAGAGAGGAACATGGACTGAGCTTGTTTAAAAGCAGAAAATCCTGCAAGAAAAACACGTTAGAGGCTGCAGAATATTCGTGCCTGGGGCGGAGGTTTACTTTCCAGAGGGAAAACTCTAAACTCTGGGACATAATGAAAAGGTTTAAATCAAAGCAGAATTGCCAACACAAAACCCAGATCTAAATCAAATGGAGAACCTGTGGCAAGATATGAATAATTGATGTTTATAAACTCAAGGTTTGTGGTTGAAGCTGCAGAAAATGTAAAAAGCGTTATGCATGTGCATTAGGAGTACAATTTAGTTTAACTGGATTAGAGACCATCAACTTCTTCCACTTGAAAATGATTCAATCTTCCAAAATGCTCGACCCAGCAGGTGCTAAATGCAAACATTTTCAGGTCACATGGGGGAACAAATTCTGGCACTTTCTAGACTTTCTCACCAATCTGACACATAGATCTCAATGAACTTTTCCTCTTCCTATTCCTCTGCTGGATTTTATCTTCCTCGACTGCAGTACCAATGGGTGAGGGTGGAATCACTGCAATACCATGTAGTAATGAGGCAATGGTATGCTGATGATGGATATAAGATTTCTTTAAAATTTCCCCCTTTAAAATGTTCACATATCATTTATCATTCAGCTAAAACAACGACAATCTCTAAAGGTGTGTTAACATTAAATGTTAAGAAGTGCTATGGCATGCTTTGACAATGTGCTGCAACGCGTCCAAAGCTCAAAAAGCCAAAGTCCTAAACTCTTGAAGCTTGATGCTGCATGTCAACCAATCAGAGAAGCTGATCAGGAAGTTGCAGGGAGATTATCGCTGGGATCGCTCCACCTGCAAAGGTGTCAGCATAAAGCCACAAAAGAGTAATCTATAATATATACAATAACTAAATGTATCTAAACTTGCTGGTGTAAAATGCAGTTTTTACCATATCCCTAAAAAATAAGTGTATAATTTTACTTTCAGCTTACAGCTGAAAGTAAAATTATACTGCTAAGATAGCTAAGCTATCTGCTACCATCCCCCTGTATGCAGGAAGAGTTATAACAGAATATTTAAGTAGGATTGTAATCTTGAAGAACTTATTACACGGATTACGTTTTGATGTGTACTTCCTCGCTTAAAAAAGGCTTTGGAGCTAATTTTTTCCCACCCGTTAAAGTAAATACCGCCATCTCGCTGCTTTGATTAATTCAGATGAGATCTGTAAAGGGAAAGAGAAGGGTAGCTCCTCCCAACATGCTTCAGACAAGTGTCCATGTGACAAACAACGGAGACGTTTTGCCACGTTAAAAGGCTTCCTGTCTGTGGTGTTGTTCATAAACACTGTAATCACAGACTGCAGGGTTTATCCAAAGATACACCGTATACCAGAAATGTGAAAATGTCATATGACTGTTAGTTTATAAAATTTTAACGCAATATTGAATCATTGACAAGCCCTACGCTATCCGCTATAATACTACCGATTTGGATAATCGGTGATTGTATAAAAAAAAAAGATAGTTGATACGTAACTATTTGGACAATTCAGTTCAACTGTTGCTTTTTTATTTCTTGTTTATTTAACTAGAATGAAATCCCATTGAGAGTAAAAATTGTTTTTAAGGGAATCTTTGCTAAGAGGCTTTTGCTTTTTGATACACGCAAATATTTCAGCTAAAGCGGATTTATTTTACACAATCCTTCATTGAGCTTCTACTGACTAAACCATACATCTATTACCTGTATTCTCAGGTTCTTCAACTATTGAAAGCGTCTCTCTTTATTATTTTACTGCTGTCCCTGATTTATTAGATTTGAAGAAAAAATGGTTAATCAGAGCCCTGAAGTTTAAGTTTTATGATGAGCAAAATGAGTTTTTCTCTATTTCCAGCCGTTTGCTCTATGCTCCATTTGTCAGTTGATCAGTAGACGTGCTGTGCTCTCTCACTCACATGGCTACTTTGTTGAATCTCTTTCACTATTTACGCATTAGCCAGAGAACACGGGCAACCGTGTCTAAGATGGATCATTAGAGAGCAGAGACAAGTGCACCATCACACACCCCACACAAGAGTAGGAGAATAACACTTTTCTCATGAGATGAAAACCGAATTGGACCAGAGTAAACATTGGAGCAGTTTACAACTCTGATCTCTGTTCACGAGTTGTAAACTGCTCCAATGTTTACTCTAGGCCATGTTTACTTGGGACCTACGGCTGGTCCTCTTTTTGCTTATAAGGTAAGATACGTCGTTCAAAATAACTCTAACCTGCACTGTGTTCCTTTGAAGCTATTAATCTGGAATAAAACATTTTATGTAAAAAAACAAAAACAAAATAGCACTAATGGAATATCACACTGCATTAAAAATCCTTTTTCCCCCCAGCAGCTTCAATTGTTATGCCTGTTCCTAGCTCTTAGTTCCTGATCTTGTAGGGGTGTAAATAATAATCGTTTTGTATCGATCCAACAGCCGACGATTCGATGCAACGACACGTCCGCAAGAGTATCGATTCATGTTTTTTTATCCATTTGCTCCTGGGCGTAATTCTCCCTCCCGTGCTGCGGTGGCGCTACACCTATTTTGCCCTCCTACCTCGCTTCCTGGTTATACTCCTGCAGCAGTTTGTCGCAGTGAGCTTGACATAGACATTTTTGATTTATGCCCAATATTGAAGCGTGGTCTGTGCTACACGCTGTGGGTCTAGATACGGCCGAGGCGATGAGAAAGTGGGGGGGAGTTTAGTCCGACAACGGAGGTACATGAGGACCAAAAAGAGCGGAGATCCCGGTGAAAAAAGGGTCCCAGCTTTCTTGCGCGCCTCGATCTTCTAGCGGGTCCAATTTCAGCAGTTGTTTTCCGAAATTTCGGTTATAAAAACAAAACAAGCCGGCCTCCTGTCTGCGGCACTGTCTGCGGTCAGCTACAATTTGAGAGAGGTGCAGCGGAGAGTCTGTGGAGGGGGCGGGGACGTCTGGAGCCGAGGTATTGAATTGCACTAATTGCACTGATTTTGTACAGTATTTTTGGATGCAAGGTCTTTCAGAATCTATAACGCAGGGGTATTATTATTTTTCAGTGAATGAGGTTTTAATAGGAATAGGTGGAGTACAACTTTTCTACTTCTGTTATTTGCTGTTGTTTCTCAAATAAAATGTATGAAGATATTACAGCTTTCATTGATTTATTTCAAATTTGAAACATTGTCTAGCCTGTAAGGTAAAAAAAAACATTAAAAAATCAACCAATTAATCGAATCGAATCTTATCGTGGTGTATTCTTGAGTACCGAAAATAATTGAATCGTTGGGTCAGAAAATTGATACTGAATCGAATCGCCATGATGGGTGTGATTTACACACCTAGTTCCTAGTGCATATATCTAGCTCCTAGCCCTTGTTCTTAACTCCTATTCCTGGCTCATAGCTTCTGTTCCTTGTTATTAGCTCCTAGCTCATAGGTCCCTTTTCCTAGTTAAAAGCTCCTGTTCCTAGCTCCTAGCCCCTGTTTCTAGCTAATATTCCATTGCATCCAATTATTGCATTCGAGTCACTAATTTGATGCAATCGACTGGTTTTCCTTAGATAGAAAACTTTGAGTCAATTTGACTGTATGATCTGGTTTAATTGTATCTGTAAAGTGCCTTGAGATGACATGTGTTGTAAATTGGCGCTATTTAAATAAACCGAATGGAATTGAATTGTTCTTATAATTTGGCTTTGTGGAGTTAAATGTATATAAAACACTTCAGTCGTAAATAATAGTTTCTTTTAGGGATGCACGATATTGGGTTTTTGGCCGATATCCGATATGCCGATATTTTAAAACTCATGTAGCCGATCACCGATATCGATACCGATGTTAAAGCTGGACAAAAATAAGTAGTCATTGAAAATAGCAGTTTTGTTATCCATTTCTGACACTTATAATAAATAATATACTCAAATATATTTTCATTTGCTGATATCAAATTGATTTTTAAAAACGCGGTGTCGATCTATTTTACTTTCAAAATCTCGTGAAATTTCATCGTTCTGTTACAAACTCTCGTGATATTTTGCAAATTCTTGTAAGATTTTGTTAGTAAAATAGATCGATACCGAGTCAATATACCAACATATAAAAATATGGCAAAATTTCGTGAATTTTCGGGGGATTTCGTAGCATAACGATGACATATAGCAATATTTCATTAGTAAAAGAGATTGATATGGTGTTTTTAAATGGCAATATATCAGCATATGAAGATATTGTGATATTTTAATGTATCAATATTTTTTCCCTCGTCTTTGGAAGTTTTTAAGTCTGTAAAAAATAAGTTTTTGAGGAAGAAGAAGTAGTATTTTTTATGTTTTTTTAAGACTTTAGAAACTCAAAAGCTGATCAAATATCGGGTTAAATATCTGTGTGGTGGCCGATGTCCGATATTCAGTTTTAAGGCCGATACAGGCCGATACCGATAGGGGGCCGATTATATCGTGCATCCCTAGTTTCTTTGCTTAAAGTTATTAAAAAAAAAAATTAAGGGAAAAGGTTAGGCTTGTATTCAGCACATTGAGGATTAAGTAAATCCAGTTTCTAAGTTATTAGGTGGTATAAAACCCTTAAAACACTTAAAAATGCAGATGTCGTCTTCGTATTTCTGATTTTAGAAGTTAGAAATGATCGGCTCCTTTGCAGGAGAAATAACTGTTTTTTCCCCATTTTAAAGACGTTTCTGCGGTAATCTAAACTCTGATAAAGACAGTCGCCCTGCAGCACAGCCTTTTCTCACTTCTGAAAGTGTGATTGTACTTGTGAAGAGCTTCTGTTTTCTTAATGTTTTCTTTTCTCACTTCACGCATTTAGAGGCTGCAATATTAGGAAACCCATCAGAATCCATGTTACCTGTTTTTTTGTATCCGTTACATCCTGTCTGGGCACAGCCGTCTGTCATAAGACCGCAAATCTGACATTGTCCTGAAAACTAATCCGCACAAAAATAAAAAGGGATTTAGGTTGCTCAGTGAGGGCTTTCGCAGCTATTATAGGAAAACCATAATCATTGGAGACCAAATGAGTCAGATTTGGATGGTTGTTGATGGAACTGGAGTTGTTAGCCTGGGTCAGGTTGTTTTGCTTTGACTCAGACCAGATTTATCCTGCGGATATGTGCTTGGCAAAAATAATGAAAGCAATGGGCTTCTTTTTTTTTTTTCACACATCACACCCACAGACTTTATTGGACAGGTTTTTGATGTAATATATAGGGAAGGGAATTATGCTTGGTTTAAAAATCTAAGAAGTGGGGCACGCATTTGTATTCTTCACCCCTTAGTTGATACTTTGTAAAACCAACTGTCTTATTAAGTAGTTTTAGTTACTTTGGGTTTTTTTTTTGTCTCTTATTGCTCTACTCATCTAGACACTGAGATTTTTGTTTTACAATTTTTTTTTCCAAATAAATCTCAGTTGGATTGGATTGAGAAGACCGGTGTAGCTCAATTTTCAATTCTCTGTTAGGTTTAGATTCAAACTATTAATCGTTTTAACACATAAACACGCTCTAATCTTACTTTTCCCATTATAGCTCTAGTTGCACGATTAGAAAATAGGATAAGGCGTCTTTGGTCATTCTCATTAAGCGCCTCATGCAGTTTGATTCATTTTAGATATTTCAGTTTACAGTTAATGGTTCCTGAAAGTGTATTTCGATGTGAAGCAACAAGCCCTTTGGGAATGTTCCAATGACATGAAATAAACCTAATCTGCGTTTCATTAAAAATGTTTAATTAAAACCAACAGTGGAAGCAATGTTCATCACACGCATGGGTTTGTCACAAGCAAACTCAGTTAAAAATAATGAATCATCCAAGAAATTACTAAACTAAACTAAAAAAGTATTTTGTAAAAAGGCTTCTTAAATACTGGGTGCTTGATGGACCATCATGACTTATTCATTGTTTAGAAATGATGCCATCAGACAGACTTTATTTTTAAAAATCTGGTATTTTAAATTGTAAAATACAAATAAATTACATGATTACAAAATAACAAATTCCTGCTGCTTTCCTAAATCGAGATTTTTCAAGATAAAACTTATAAAATAAATCCTTACTGTTATTAATGCATCTTAAATAGAGAAAGGTAAACTCTCACTGACCATATTTACTTTTTACTGTATATTAAGTAAATCTCTATTAATGGCTCAAGTTACTCAAGTAGGAGTAGTGATACTTCACAAGAATATTACTCAAGTTGCAATAAAATGTAAATATTACTGAGTAAGTAAGTAGTTATTACACAGCTACACTTACAAATTATGCTTTACTTAGAGTATGATGTCAGATTATTGGCTGAGCAAATGGAAAAAATTAGTCAGAACCACACAAGTGAATCCAAAAGACTTTTCTAGAGTAAATGCATCCTAACTTTAAATGGTTTCTTTTTTAATTAATTTTTTTGCTCTTAGTCATTTCTCTCTTATTCCGTTTTGTAGCAAATGCCAGATTTGTGAGGTACGTCACAGATAATTTACAGGTGAACAGATTTTCCCACCTCAGCTGTAAATCCCTGCTGCTCCTTCCGACTTGCTGTTTCCTTTTAGTCCAGTTGTGTTATTTTTTGTTAAATTATAACCTAAAGTTTATTATCACTGTGTTAGTCCATGGCCAGTAATAGGATACTCAGCCTGTGCACATGGTTTATATGCCTGTTTTTGTTTTGTCCTGAGGGGTTTTAGCTGTGCCACAATAGGTGGGGGAGATTTAGCTCTGATGCCCTCAAAAAAGCTAATTTCCTACAAAGCTGAGTAGGAGCAGAGTTTGTTATTCAGCTCATACCTGTTTGCAAGGCACATAACACCTCCCTCTTCCCTTCCTTTATCCTCTAACCTTTCAGTCTCATCTGAATCCTGCTATTCTCTCTGCCGCTGTTTTCCAGTCTTCTTGTTTTTGCTTTCCCTTCTTCTCCCCCCCCCCTCCTCTCCTCTCCTCTCCTCTCTCATCTTTCTCTCCGCTGCATCGCTCAGTCAGTTGGAGAGGCGAGAGTCTCTCCACTCGCACTTCCTTGCCACCGATTCTGCTGCCGATGACTCGATTAGCTCCCCCCGCTCTTGGTCCTTTATACTTCTGCGTTCTGCTCGTTCGGCTGCCGATTTCGTGGAAGCGCAATGGCTCTGGCGGTCTGTTGCCGTTTAATTAGGTCCCATTGTTTTTCTGGCGGAGTGCCGAAGTGAAGCAGCTCGGAGCTTTTTGTTGTTGTGACATGTCTGTTTACATCAGCGGCATGGCTCGCAGGGCAGGGGCAGCCGGGGGCAGCCGAAGGAGCAGCACTAGCAACAGTGGAGGAGCAGCTGGAAGAGGAGGAGGGGGAGATGAAGAGCATGAAACAGGACATGCTGTAACACTGCCTGGAGGTCCAGGAGCCCCAACCAGTGGAGGAAGAGGCTTAGCAGAGGATGAAGCTGGGGAAAGAAGTGGAGGCTCTGCCAGAGCTGTGTATGGAGCAGGAGGAGGAGCGTCAGGATGGGGACTGAGAGGTGGTGTTTGTCGGGGAGTTTGTATGTCCGTTCAGGAGCTCAGCTACTGTCTGTGTCTGCCCTGTTGTTGTACAGTGTTGCTGCAGCATGGAGCTGACCCCAACATCCGCAACACTGATGGCAAGTCTGCCCTGGACCTGGCTGAACCGTCAGCGAAGGCTGTGCTCACAG